TCCAAGCCCTTGCCAAAACACCAACTGAAGGCTGCTGGGAAAGGGACGTCAACTTTTCTCCAGGGATACAACACAGCCCCTGAGAGGTTACCCTTGCTCTAGCATATGGTCCCACACAGGCAGCACTAGGTGGACACAGTGGGTTAAAAGAAGAAAAAAAAAAGCACATGGGATGGAAGGCAATAGCTGGGGGAGGGTACAGGAGAAATTGGAAGGGAGGGAATAGGAGGGTCAGTTTGATCAAAATATAATATATACATCCAAGAAATTCTCAAACAATTGAAAAACAGGATAAAAAGAAAGTAAAGCAGTTGAAGGTTTGGAATTGCTCTGTTAAAGTTTAGCAGTGCTAATGTACTTCTGACACCATTAGGACAAACAAGCATGTTGAAAAGTTAATCCCAAGAGCTAAAATATCAAAACATATTGAGTAAGTTAGAGGTGGGGAAATATTTTTAGAGATGAAATGCAGTTCAAGACAAATCAGTTTTTAAAGTGGAGAGAAAAAAGAAATAAAGAGAAGTGATTGCAAATGGAAGGCACAAAATAAGGCAGTAGAAAAAAATGCAAATATATGGGAGACATCAGCATGGATGGTAATTGAAACCATGAGGGAAAATGAGATTTCTCCCAGCGGGAGCAAGTGTCTTGAGAAAAGTAGGGGCCCTGCAATAGAATTTAGAGAAACAAACAAACAAATAAAAAAAGAAAGGTCTAAAGTAGGGTGGACAGATCTGCAGGTGAAATGGGAAGTCACCCCTTAGAAAAGGAAGAATGAAAGAGCCCATAGCACCTACATGAACATTGTAAGTTTATATTGTTAAATTTCCTTTCAATTTTTAAAAATTATTTTATTTATTATTTTTGTGTGTATTTGTATTGCCTGCATGTAGGTAAGTGCACCCATGTCATGCAATGCCCACGGAGGACAGAAGAGGCCGTTGGATTCCCTGGAACTGGAGATATGGACAGTTGTTAGCTGCCATGTGGGTGCTGAGATTTGAACCTGGGTCTTCTGCAAGAACAGCCAGTGTTCTTAACTGCTGAGCCACCTCTCTAGCCCTGTAAGTTTATATTTTTATTATAACAATTTTTAAACAAATGAAGAAACTGAAAGCCTAGTTTTCCTTTTACCCATTATCCAGATTCAACAATTTATATATTACCATTTTATCCTTATCAGCTTCTTTCCTACTGAATCACACAAAATTTATTTACAGGCATTATACCACCCCTAAATATGTAGATGTTTATCATGTAAGCATACATCATATATCATCATAACACCATTAGCATAATTATGTAAAAACTTCTAGTCACTTTCAAAAATGATAATTCATCACAATAGGAACAAAAAGATAGCCATCCTGCTAATATGCAAAAGTAGGGTAACCATAATTTAAATCTAAACCAGGGTATTTCTATACATGAAAGGGAGTGTTAATTAGAATGCTTGGGCAGTGGGTATAAGCAAACTGCTCAACGAAACTAAGATGTGCAGTGATTTTACCCACATCACGTTTTCCTGAATATTACAATTGTTCTTTGCATGTCAACACAAAGATGATACAGTGAATGAGTACCAACATATACACAAGTTCCCGAAAGGAATAAAGTTCCTTTCTTCTAACACAAAGCAGAAGCTAATGTCTGTTGTAGGATAAGACTGCTTTAATATAGCCTTATGCTATCAATTAGATGTGAGTGAGAGGTCTGCAAAAGGGACAGATTTTCTGAAAATTTTAATTCCTAAAGGCACAGTAGGCATGAAGGATGAGGCAAAAGTCACAGTTCTGTACCCTGTCTAGCATCCCCTTATATTTAATTTTTTAAACCAACAGACATCTGCCAACAAAGTGATTCCTAAATAAATCTAAAACTTCATTAATGAAAGATTGACTAGCATTTTTCTTGTTTGTGTCAAACATGGGATTTCCAGGAGCCTTCAATACATGTTTATCTTTTTCTAATGAATTATATTGTGTATGTTTAAGACTTACAACATTATGGCACTCCAGTAGGCAGTAAAATAGTTCTTGTAATAGGGTGATTTAACATATCTATCATTTTCACATATGTATTCATTGTTAAAAGGGCAGCCACAATCTACTTATTTAATAAAAATCGCTCGTGTGGTACAATTTTGTTACCTTAACCCTCATAAAGTACATTACAACTTTAGATTTATTTTAGATTGCAGGTACAAAGGTATGGAAAACAGCATGGGGCAGATGAACTCAACCAAAGAATCTCCTTCATGAGACACTCTCTTGGGGCTAGACTCTCACAGAAAATAATTCAGGAGAAATTGCATAGGAATGAATAAATGTTCACTGCTAAAGCCACCAACCTTGTAGATGTAATCAACAGCATTTGATCATGAATTAGGATATCACCATGGCCCTTTCTCTGCAACACTCAGCATGGATCTGTAGCTATCATTTCAGGAGTCAAAGCATCTCTCCACTTCCTTACCTGTTCATTTATTCCTAACTACATCATCATTTAGGTAGCAGTTAGTTACGAAATGGCATGTTTTTATGATTTTGGTGACATATCTATTATCTACAGTTCTCCAGGACAAAATTGTTCAACATTTTCATCAGGAAACACTTGTCTTGTGCTTGTTAAGAGTCTCAAAGGCCCTCAGCTAGACAGAATTTCTAGTGAAAACCTCAGGGGTGTGATTATTTTTTATTATCTCATGGTAAACACCCTTTGGTCATAATTTTATCTTAACTTACATCAGTCTTCCACTAATTATGATGTCTTCTTTACATCAATTAAGATACTAAAAAACTAATTTACCAAGACAGTTACTCAGTTTGATGGGCATCTTTTTTTACATGTTTATAAGGTTATTTCTAGACTCAGGGTCCTTTGATCTTACAGCATCACAAAATCTAAATATGAGTGCCATCCCCTCTTGCAAACTACACAGTTTGAAAGAAGAATCATCTCTAAAGTGTGATCCTCTCAGAGAGAAGGAAGAATTGCTGGTTATTACCTCCTGCAAGGGATGGTTCCAAAGGGAGTTAACTAAAAAGACTTGAGAACTAAATATAGGAGAATTAACTCAATAAGAAAATAATTTACAAAATCTTAGTATCTTGTATATTTATGAAATAATCTCCAATGGGAGTATAAGAGTCAATTATCATATGAGTTTCTTTATTTTTTTGTTTTTACTTTATGTGTATCAGTGTACTGTCTACATGTATGTAAGTGTCGTGCAGTGCCCCAGAGGTCAAAAGATGACATCGGATCCCCTGGAACTAGAGTTTGGATGGTTGTTAGCCACTGTGTGGGTGCTGAGAACCTCCTCTGCAAGAACAGCCAGTGCTCTTAACTGCTGAGTCATCTCTCCAGCCCCATCATATGAATTTCTATTGAACACCTTCAGAAACAAACTGAAGTAGTTTCTTATGTATCCCAAGAATGCTACAAGTCTCTTCCAGCTACAATTTTTGTAACAATGCTGTGCTGGTTACGATTGATTGTCAACTTGAAAGAATCTAAAAATCACTAGATGTGGCCCCCAGGCATGGCTATAAGTGATCACCTAAATTAGGTTGAGATAGAAAGTCCCACTCTGAATGTGGCCTAGGGTCTGGGACTGTATGAAAAGGAGAAACCTAGCTGGTCACAAGCATCCATTCAATCACTTCTTCTTAATTGTGACTGCAGAGGCCAACTGCCTCGAATTCCTGCTCCCATGACTCCCCTACCATGATGTACTATACCCTCAAACTGTAAGTAAAAATAAACCCTTTCAGGTATTTGTCACAGTAATGAGGAAAATAACTAATATAAATGTGATTACTAATATCCGTGTGAATCTTCAGAAATAAGAACATAGGGAATAACTGAAATCTGAAGACTATGAGGCCAGGGGCACTCAGTAAACCCCTTCATGGGAACTTGACCTGCTACCCCGGAAAGGACCCTTTGCTTACATTCTGGTGCAGTATTTCCAGAGGCAAAGGAACCTTTTGTAGGTAGGGCCTGGTTGGCAGAAATATGTCATTAGGGGCAGAATCTGAAGGCTATAAATCCAGCCCCTGGTTCCTATAACACTCTCTACTTCCTGTTCTGCTGGGATACGAGAAACCTCTACTGCTCTCACCACCGTGCCTTTCCTACCATGATGTAATGAAATCCCCTGAAACTGTGAGCCAAAATAAATATTTCTTCCTTTAAGTTGTTTCTCTTGGGTATTTTGATCATAGCAATGCAAAGGTAACTCTCACAGGCTACCCTGGTGTGTGTAATGATGCAGTCATCTATAGTGGAATTTTTATCATGCAGGAACTCACACTTAGTAAAGTGCTAAGCAATCACATCCATAATCTTACCACACTATAACAAATTATGGAGGCCCCTATTGCCTGGTTCACCCTCTTTTGGAGAGCATGCTAAATGGAGTAAGGATCTCGTTAATCAAATTTTGATGTACCTAGCAGAGAAACAAGATAGATTCTGTTATTCTGGCATCCATGAGAGGCTAGAGAAAACTAAACTCATTTAACAGAGTGAGGTCTTTTGTTTGCTTTTATTTTTGAGACAGGGTCTAATCTTATATCCCCTCTGACTTCAAACTTGTATCAAATCTCCTGCCTTAGTTTTCCAATTCCTGGAACTATAGGTGTGAGCCATAATGCCCAATTAAAATTAGTAGTTTTAATTTTGAATTTGCATACATAAAACTAAATTTAACAGGTAAATTTTTTTCAAGCTATTAGCACCTAAAATCACTAGATGTGGTTGTGATTTACTGAACACATAATATTGAAACACTAAGTATGTTTGAATTATAATATTAATACCATCCCTACTGTGAACAAAAAGTTCCTCTTTACCACTAAATATAATGTTCATCAAAATTTTCAATCACAATTATACACACACAATACATACGCACATCCTAGATCATTAGGGAACCCAGAATATATGATTCTGTTTTGATCGGCAGCCTAAAACAACCACACTGAGGCACTTACCTTGTGGGCAAAATGACCAACTAATAAGCTGTCAGTAACTGAAGTATTTGCATCACTTTCCAAGATATCAAGTCCAAAATCTCTGCATGAATAAACTTGGAAGTTTTTCAGGTAAAGATTGCTACTTCTAGAAATCTATAAAATAACAACTCAAGTTATGCCAAAGGTTTGAGAATTGGTTTTTCTTGCAGTCTTCCTAATGCTTATTTAATTATTGATCAAGTATAAATAAGTAAGCACACGGTGCCATATTTAAGAAGTTTTTTCCATCAATATCAGCACAAACATCTCAAAGTTGCTAGTGAATTCCCTTTGGTGCTAACCCCTATGTAATTTACAATTCTCCAAATAAGAGCCAATATATTAAAAGGTCAATGTGAATTCTCCACATATTTAAAACATTCTTATAGTAGCCAAATAATGCAAAATTAATTAATATAAGCAGCATTCAAGAACTTCAGTGCTTAACATGTTAAGTAAGTGCATATTAGCTCATATAGTAAGAAGATTGCAAACACAAAATCAATCATTCAGCTTGTCTATAGATTCACTATATATATCCAAATGGTTGGGTTAACACCTCTAAATAGGGATAATGTAATAACAAAATTAGTAGAGTTGAGAAATATCCCACTGTTCTGAGATGAGGCTACTGGTTCTCACCTACATCTTATATTAACAAGGTGATCATGGGCAAAACATTTAACTTCTCCTAGGCCTTGAGGCTCACCATCTTTAAAATAAGGATGGAAGTCAGGACTAGAAGATGATCTAACATGGCCATCTTTTATTTGCTTACTTATTAAATAGTATCATATTTACATTCATACTTGAACTGGAAGTACCCTATTGAGGCTTAGATATATTTGACCTTTAAGACATTCACATGGCCTTCATGACTACTGTATCTTCATTTGAAAGTTTTATAAAACGATTGTTCTTTGAAGACATATCTATGATGTGTGCACAATAGGTAAGATCTAAACTAATAACTTGAGCACAGCTGTTACCAATTATAGGTGCCCACAAACATACCCATTTGCAAACATACTCAAAAACAGTAACACTTAGCTTTACCTGGAGACTCTCTTGATTTTTAATGGGAAACCAACATACAGGGGCAAAGTGTACCTATTTGTGGTGTGAACACATCTTTCACACTGGGTTCTCATCTTTCTCTCTTCTGGAAGAATTACCCAGGATTTATGAAACTTGGTGAAAATAAGATATTTTTCAACCACTATTTAACATAGAAATTGAATAGCTCTTTGGTTAGAAATCCAATAATTCTTATCTGTGGGACATCAGTAAATATTTCACCACCACAGAAGTTAAAAGACAAAATTACAACAAAATAATAAACACCATTGGGAGCTCTGTTACCAGCTATTCAAATGACATATTTTAAGCTTTCTTCATCAAAATTGTCTTCCTTTTATTGGGCACCTGAATATATGTTTGATTTTTATTGTGATTTAATTATGTTTTTTATCCTAGTCCCTAAGTGTTCTGTAAACATATTTCTTCACCTATGCATCCTAGGCTTCCGATTTCGAAGTTTCAAAGACCAAATATATGTAATTTCCTCTGTGTAGCATCAAGGAAGCTAGATAATTGTAGTTGGTTTTAATTAACAGCCAAGAATTTTAATAAAAAGTATATAAATGTGAATCTATTTTTTTCTTTTGAGAATAAAGGAAAAATCAAATACAAATTAAAGTAAGTAACAGCTGGGACTGCAACTGTTTCCTAATGAGGAACTATGCTTTTCTATGACTGAATCATGTGTTATTCAGGACGCTGGAATATCAAATTCACATTTGTGTCCTGACTTTGTATCTGGATGAGCTTCTAATCAAGTATATGTTTTTGACAAGATCTTTTACTTTCTGATTCTTCATTGTTTGGCTGTAAGTAGGAATTGGAAGGGAAGAATAGATGAACCTCTACAACTGAGACCTCCTGATGTCATCTCCACACTCCTGTTCTCTATTAGGACAGTTGATAAAAACTGTAGAGAAAAATGGCCTCTGGTACAGAATTTGATCATTCAATACCTTTTACACACACACCTATGGGTATTGTGGCAACATTACAAGTTCCCTCTAGCATCAAACATTCTGCTTTAGATGGAGATATGTACTGACCTATCTCTAGAATACATACCTGGGCACCGCCTGCACTTCCCCAAACCCTGAAGTTTTGGATCACAGTGGGGCCAGTGTGATCATTCCAAGGTGGTTTAAATTTAGGATATATGAGGAGACCATACCTAGAGAGTAAAGCAGACAAAGAAATTTAATCAATGTGTTTCTAATCTCTCATTTTTCTCATTGGAACTAAAAATGCACTCTAAAATTTGTTACATTGTAGGGGCTGGAGAAATGGCTCAGCAGTTGAGAGCACTAAGTTTCTCTTGCAGGGGACTGGAATTCAATTCCCAGAATCCACATGATGGCTAAGAGTTTGACTCCCAGCACCCATATGGCAGCTAACAATCATCCGTAACTCCAGTTTCACAGGCTCCAACACCCTCTTCTGACCTCCAAGAGTACATCTACCTGCATGTAAGCAATACACTCATACACTTAAAAAATAAAATAATAAATATAAAAAGTTGATACATGATGACTCTACATCTTTATAGATGGGCATGTAATGTTTCAATGCATGTTTGCATTATGCAAGAGTGAAATTAGGGTAAACATGTCTATCCTCTCAAATATTTACCACTTCTTTTCGTTGTTGTTGTTGTTTTATGTTGGTTTGTTTTTGCCTTTTTGTTGTTTCTCTGACAGGGTCTCCCTAGTCCCAACTCACCTGGAAGTCACTATGTGGACCAGTCTGACCAATCCCACAGAGATCTGCCTGCCTCTGCCTCCCAAGTGCTGGGATTAAAGCCACACATCACCACAGCAAACAAATATTTACCATTTCTTTACAGTAAAACACACAAAGTCCTCCATAGTTTCTCAAAATATCAAGAGCATTATCATTATCTGTAGCTAACGTACTGTCTAGAACACCAAAATTTACTTATCCTGCCTAACAATAACTCAGGCTCATCAACCTTTCCTTATTGCGTGTGTGTTCCTTTCATTACCCATTTGCCAGGTGATAAACATTTAGGTTGATTCCCCATGCCTTCTAGTATCAGATGCCCTCACCTTCTATGTTAGAGAGGGATTTAAACAAGTCTCTTGTCTCTCCATGGTGGGCGAAACAAAAGTAAAGAGCCTCTCTTGCAGGAATGATATCTCCACTGGGCTCCCAAGGGCTCAGCACTGGCAATTGCTGAATCCTTAAGATTCAGTTCCTACCTCTAGTGAAATTTTTCTAACTACAAAAGTATATCCTGCCCAATGGCTTCTAAAGTGACTCATTTTTTCACTTCTGCCACCAAAAATCATAATCAATATACTTACAATAGCCAAGAAAACAAAGTAGGCTTGGTGTCTATCAACAGATGAATGAATGGAGAAAACGTAGTATGTACTTATGATGAGATATTATTTAGCCTTAGAACAAAATTCCTGTCTTTGTAGGTATATAGGATACCATGCCCAATTAAATGAAATGGATTCTGAAGAAAGAGTACTACCCTTAAATCAGAAATCTAATAGATCTAAAGTCCAGGGTAAAACTGGTTGTAAGGGGTTTGTGGGAGAGCAAACTAAACTGCCTAAGTCTAAATGTATAAAATTTCAGCTGTGTAAGATAAGTTCTAGAAATATACTATATAGGGCTGGAAAGATTGCTCAGTGGTTAAGAACATTGACTGTTCTTGCAGAGGACCCAGGTTTGAATCCCAGCACCCACACAGCAGCTAACAACTGTCCTTAACTCCAGTTCCAGGGGAACTCGAAGCCCTCTTCTAACCTCCATGGCATTGCATGACACAGGTGTACTCACATGCAGGCATAACACTCGTACACATAAAATAAAAATAATAAATAAAATATTTTTAAAAAGAAATATGTTATATAACATAGCATGTATACCTAACAATAGTAAATACTTGAAACTCTGCGAAAAGGCTACATTTTATGCCAAGTGTTTTTACAATAATTAGTGAATGAAGTAATAGGCCACAAGACAGATTTCAGAGGTGAATAATGTTGGTGCACAGACTATACTGTTGGATCCATAGACGTATACTTCTCTCCAAACTTACCACATTTTATACATAGGCATGTACAGCAATTTGCATGTCCACCACTCTCTAATAACATGGTTATAAAACAGTATACTGTAGCATCATAAAACCTCAAACAGATGCCAAAAAGTGTGCACCCTTCATGTGTAAAAATCACAAATGTGAAATCACAAGCATCACTCTCAAGATGTAGATTAATTTTCGAATGTTACCTTGTACAGGAATGTGCAGTGTTGTGAGTGAATGAGAGGACTGGAGCTTCGGATGTTTCTCTGGTCACAAGGTGGAAAAAATAGCCATAGCCAGCACCACACACTCTGTTCCCCTATAGAAATTAAAGGCAATTTGAAAAATATTC